TAGGTGCCCACGTCGGCGCATTATAAGCGTTGGTATTTCAGCCTAAAAGAACGTTGACAGAAGAATAATTAAATTTAGCCACGCAATGGCGAAAGTTCAGAATGCCCACGAAACCCGACGGCCGAATCATGTTACAGTTTAGACCGGGGATAACGTATTTTCAGATGAAAGTTCGGCGTGGTTGTTTCGTCGTATTAATTTAGCCTTCTGGATCAACCGAAAACCCGTATCAGCGTTCTAAGTAACCGAAATTCGAAGTGGGCGGATATCTGCGTGATTTGAGAGAACGACAAGATACTATTTCATCTGTCATTACGTTCTATTCAACAGCTAGATTAGCAGTTCCCGACCCAAATTCGTCAGAAAATGCTGGGGACTTACGGAGAAAAGTCGAACGACGTATTGTCGAACTGTTTATCACCGCCCTGCTTCTGAAAGAGTCGCGATCAAGAGAAATAGCTGTAATATTGAATAATATGGATGCAAAATGAAAGTGCGAAATGATCTTCAGCTTCGTCGGCGAAGATAGACGTCAACATTCGAAGATTACTACAGGTAAAGCCGAAGCGCCTCAACCAATTCAAAGCAACGCTATCGTTCAATAATCATCAAAACGTCATCTGGAAAGTGGAGATAATGACCGCTCAGGTTGCAGAGTTGAGATTCATCGCATCCCCATTCAATGTGATTTCGACACGTTAGCAGACCATTGCCGGTCTCGCAGATGCACGCCTAACCGTGCTATCGAGAGATCGTTTGATTCAAGACCGTAATTTAACGCCGATTCACCGAACACCAGCAGGAAACCGACTCAATAATAAGAACTATTGATTTAGAATCATCGCGCCGACGCTAAAGTGCCAGTTTAATGATTAGACGATATCTCTCGGTCGACGAATGCCCAAAAATATCATGAACGAAATCAATCACCGACTGCGACCGCCGTGGCGAATTGATCGCATTGATGAGTGAAATTTAACCGAAACATATGTCGAGGGTGAATGAACGAACCGTGACACGCGAATAGTTTGTCAGTATCGCCGAGTTCATTCTAATTTCGGCACGACACGCCAGTAATGGTTCCTCGCTCTGGGGCGAAATCAACACCGAAGTTTTGACCAAATCGATCGGCGAAATGAACGAGATAGCGACCTGACTATCGAAGCGCGAACGATTCGTGAACACTGTTGGAAATAACCACTTCTGAAGGAAATCAACTGCGTTGGCGACCAGCCGCGGGGACGAAATGAAGAGATACGCTTCAACGCCGCCGACCGACGCCGATGACGAACGCTGATTTGCAGCTGGCGACTTTGAACGTCTCCAGCTGAAACTGACCAATTTTGCGAGGTAGATCGCCAACACTTCAGATGTCATTACGGCATTTTTCGAGCAGGAGTCTTCAAAGTTTCTTTAACGATTCGGTATCAACAAACAGAACGACGTTAACGAGCAGTCTTCAGAGACGAGATAGGCTGGTTAATTTGATTGCTTTTGGAGCAGATAATGATTCTGCCTTTCATTGAACAGCAACAGTTGTTAAAGTTTTAAAATCCTTTCCTTAGACGTTCGAACATCTATAATCAAACTTAAATCATCAACAATATTCGACGTGCGGGTGTCTCAAACGAAAGTTGACTTCCAGTCGGCGACCGGTTTCAAAACTTCGCTTTCACCGAACAAGTTTGATACAGCAATGACGAAAAAATTTTCTCGTCGGAAAGCGTTAGGCGATCGACGAGATCAAGACACGCAGCCGACTGAAGAAAGCATACAGCAGATAGTACGCCAGCGTTTTATCATGACATAGTTCGTCATCACGGCTCCAGACATATAGCAGGCAAACGAGGATGTGTTTAAAAATTACAGATATCTTCTGGCATCCCGTTATTAACAGCTGTAATCACTCAACAAGTAAATCATCATTATTGCTTAACTGTTTTATGAAGCTGGGGCTACGCGAGTTAAAGCTTTTGCACGAACACCGTCACGCACGCCGTGCACCAGCTCATCTACCAACATCACGTCGCACCGCCTACCGCCGTTTTCACATCGTCCACAGCTGTCGTGCAGCGCTATCTGGTTACCTCTATAGCCTCGTCAACAATTTGCAATTTAACAAAGTTACCAGCCAAACAATAATAACGTCAAAGACAGTATCAGAATGTTTTGTTTACAAAGAAGAGTTGACCAGCATTATCTGTTGTGTACTCCAGCCAAATACATTAATCCCATATGCAGTGCCGATTACATCAATGTGGGTCACTTCCGTGGTGGAATGCCCAGCGGACAAATTTCACAAAACTCTCCCGTGTCAGCGAGCGATTCTGTCAACGACGATCACAGTGATGAAAGCCAGAAGTTAATAGCTCGACGAACAAAGCGCCGATTAATCGCGCACAGCGCAGAAATAACGCGATCTCGTGCTGCGCGATCTGACCGTCGCCGGGAAACATCGCTATCAGCTTAGCCGCCGCTGACATTAAGATTATCATTGTCAATATATTTATCATCAGCTTTCTCGCAGCCGAATAAAATAACAGCCGGCAATACCGTACAGCCATCAGTAATGCCGTATGTGCCACGCATAATCGAAAGGCACGCCGAATCGCCATCAGCTGCAATGCCGAATATCAGCTTTCGCCGAATGCCAGCAATGCCGAATGCCATCAGCTTTCGTCGCCGTATAAACAGCTTCTGCCGAATGCTCATCGCTTTCGTGCCGAATTACCGTTTTGAGCAATGCCGAATGCTCAACAGCCTTTCGCAATGCCGAATGCTCATCAGCTTCGCAAAGCCGTGTTCATCAGCTTCGCAAAGTTGCATGTTCATCATTTCACGCCGTATACCACGCTTCGTACCGCCGAATGTTCATCGCTTTCGCAAGTGCCGAATAAACAAGTTTTCGGGCAATGCCGAATACCATCATTCGCAATGCCGTATGTACCACCTTCGTCATCATTCGCCGAATAGCCATCGCTATAAAGCCGCGCTCATCAGCCGCAACAGCTAGTAATGCCGAATACCATCGCCCAGTGCCGAATGCTCATCATCTTCTTCGCAATGCCGCATACCATCAGCGCAATGCCGAAATAATCGTCTTCGTGCCGTAGTGCCTGACCAAAGCTTCGCAAAGCCGCCGCTTCATCATCTTCGGCAATGCCGTATATCAGCTTTCGCACAAGTCGAAGCCATCGCAATGAATGTTTCATCAGCTTTCGCAATAAAGCCATCAGTTTTCGCAATGCCGAAACTATCATTTCGCAATGCCGCTTTCTGCAATGCCGTATACTATCAGCCGCACGCCGAATGTTCTCATCAGCTGGCAAAGCCGTATTACGCTTGAGCACGCCGAATGCTCATCAGCTTGGCTGTCGCCGAATACCGCTTTCGGCAAAAGCCATCATCTTCGGCAATGCCGAATGCTCATCAGCTTTCGCACGCCGAATACCATCAGCTGGCTGCCGAATGTCATCATCTTTCGCAATGCCGAATGCCATCAGCTTCGGCACGCCGAACAGCTGTCGCCGAATGTTCTCATCAGCATAATGCCATCGTAGCTCATCAGCTGGTCGGCGCTCATCAAAGCTTTCGCAATGCCGAATAACAGCTTGAGCAATGCCGAACAGCCAGTTTTCGCAAAGCCAAGGCTCATCATTGCACGCCGGTCGTCATCAGCCGCCTCATCACTGCAATGCCGAATGCTCATCAGCTTGGTGCCGACCGAAGCCATCAGCTTCGCAATGAATACCATCGCTTTCGCCGAATATCATTTTCGCGCTGAATGTCATCAGCGCTACGCCGAATGTTACCAGCTGCGCAATGCCGAATGTCATCGCGCTTTCGCAAAGCCGAATGCGCCATCAGCTTTTAAAGCTGAACAGCGTTCTCGTCAGCTTTGTTACGCCGAACAAACAGGTCGCCGACACCATCGCTTCGTGCGCTGAACGTTAATAGCTTTCTTTCGCCGAATACCATCAGCAATGCCGAATGCTCATCAGCCGCAAAGCCGAATTACCGCTTCGTAATGCCGAACGCCATCAGCCTTTGAGCCGAATGCTTCAATAAAGTTTCGCAAAGTCGGAATGCCATCAGCTTTCGCAACGCGAATAAGCCTCATGCCGAATGCGCTCATCAGCGCCGAATATTGATTTTGAAGCACGCCGAAGCTTCATCAGCCAGCAACGTCGGTCATCAAAGCTTTCGTGCCGAACGCCATCAGCTTTCGCGCCGGTCGTTCATCAGCTTCGCAATGCCATCGCATCAAAGAGAACACCATTCGATGACAATGTTGGTATAACCACGCGCCAGAACAATAAAACCACCGTGTATGTTCACATTAACTACGGCCTGCCGACGTTACACCAATATGCCATCTTCGACACCATCCAGCGTTTCATCATCTTCAACCGCCATGCATCTCACCAGTCCTAACAGCAACGAAATGCCTGACTTCAAAGACAATTTTGACTTCAGCGTTCGCCCGACACCGACCTGCCGACCAGAAACATTATTTTTCTGCGCCAGTTCGGTGGTACGACGATGTTCCCTGTGACGCAGGTGGTTTGGTATCAACGATAGACCAGGTACTTCGGCATTGTTCAAACGAGTGGGGAAATCTGGTGGTCGGGCGTCGGTTAAAGACCGACGAGCCGCTGAGGTCGCAAAACGACAGAAAACGAAGTTTCATAACAGTGCGGAAACTAACTTACGAAAGCAATAATACCATTACGCGATTAATTATTTGCGCCATTATTCACAGCAGATAAATCGTTGGTGGAAATGATGAATATTGATTTAACACTTCGCAGCATCAGCGAATAATACCATTCAATGGGAGCGCCGTCTAACATCTCCAGACAAAGAGCGGTTTCATCTGAAGCCGCATTGAACACAATCGCTGTTTATCAGCATGTTCCCTGAAGAAGCCCGTGTAAGTTCGGTGCGTTCCATACCTGAAACCACGAGACATGGTTCCTGATCACCTAATAGATTCGCAGCCAAACCAACTGTTCAGCTGCAGCAGGTACGTCATTAAGGAGTACCATGTCGTTTACACTCTTCGGTCAAAAGGTGTCAGCTCAGTGACTGGAATCTGAAGTTAGGATTTCAATGCATAGACTTTTGTCCACTATCAAACCACCTTCTCCATATTTATATGATTGTGAATGCCATGCACCATGCTCATGTCTTTTATCATGTCATATTTCAATAAAAGTATCCAGGTAAATCACCAATTATATGGACATTTGGTCTCTCTGCAAGCACTACATTCAACCCAGAGTTCCTAGTATGGTGATCTGCCTTCAGTTGTTGGCGATCTATAACCTGTTTTTATATTGTATTGTCTTCGTAAATACAATAGTTTTACATGTTCATGCTAGTTTTAGACTCAATCTGCGATACTCTAGTTATTTTACAGTCCTTCGATGACTGATTATTTAGCAATTATTTTTTTGTTTATGTAAAACATTTCTCGTCACTATATCGCTGAAATATTGCCGAGGTGACGCTAAATTCTAACTCACTCACTCACTCACATTCAACCCCGACGCTACATGCATATGTCTTTGGATGCACATTGTGCAAGGTTGCATCCCTTGAGCTATCATGGGTTCGAATCCTGGTTTGCTCTAATCATTTCTAGGTTGATCAGAACCATGTCTGTGTCATGGTTTTCACCAGAGTAGTGAACGTGTAAGACACTTTAGACCTTACACAGGCTTTTCTCCCAAGGGACATGCTGTGGTATAACTTTGATTGTGTTCAATGCAGCATTAAATTCAAATCTCACTCTTTGTGTCAGAATCTGGGATGTTAAGACAGCATACTCCCATTGAATGAAATTAATTATTCACTGGTCTGCAGAAGTGTTAAGTCAAATATTCCTTCATTTCTACCAGCAATTTATCATGAAATTCTGTGATAGAAAACAGTTTAGCCAAAATACATAATCTGCCTTAATTAATCTTCTTTCAGGAAAGTCTAATTAAATCCACATGTGAATCCATTATTGCTTTCATAAGTTCGTTTCACACTGTTATGAAGAAACTTCATTTTCTGTGTTTACAGTCTCGGCCTCAGATATTGATCCAATCATCCGGATCTACACCCCAACCAGGCACCCCGACCACACCCAGGTTCCCCACTCCGACAGGGGCAATGCCCAGAACACCTGCCACCCCTACTCTGGGGGGATCCCAGAAGTATGTCATTGTGTCATCTCAGCCTCGCTCCACCACCCCTTCATCACAGAACATCACCATCAACAGTGGCAGTGCTGGGTCAGCCCCTACAATAGTCAAACTTGTTACCACAGCTCAAGGAGCTAACACAAACACTGTGCCTAGAACTACTCCACAGAAAATAGTGGTCATGTCCTTGCCCTCTGGCGGGTCAGGGTCACAGCAAGGTCAGGTGTTGACCCCAGGTGCTTCAGATGACCTTGGAGTCAAAAGTGTCTTTGGAGGTCAAGGCTCAAACTTTTCATTTGCTGTTAAGAAGGACCCTGAACAGAGAGATACATAAATGGTTTAAGATGTCAAAGAAATTGCTAAGGACCAAATTGATCCAAGTGGATGAAATGTGTGGGTGTAACATTCTGAGCAGGATTATTACCATGGATAGTGTATATGACACTCACACAGTGGAGACTTGTTTGTCGATTCTGAAAACATAAATGGATCATCTCTGCTTCTCACATCACAGCCATTCCAACATTGTCATAAAGGAATAGTGTGTTGTTCTCTTTGGATCGATGAAGACATTCAGCATTGCAGAAAGCTGATGAAACATTCAACTTTGCAGAAAGCTGATGAAACGCTTCAACTTTGCAGAAAGTTGATGAAACATTCAGCATTGCAGAAAGCTGATGAAACATTCAGCATTGCTCAAAGCTGATGAAACATTCAGCATTGCAGAAAGCTGATGAAACGTTCAACTTTGCAGAAAGCTGATGAAACATTCAGCATTGCTCAAAGCTGATGAAACATTCAGCATTGCAGAAAGCTGATGAAACGTTCAACTTTGCAGAAAGCTGATGAAACATTCAGCATTGCTCAAAGCTGATGAAACATTCAGCATTGCAGAAAGCTGATGAAACGTTCAACTTTGCAGAAAGCTGATGAAACATTCAGCATTGCTCAAAGTTGATGAAACATTCAGCATTGCAGAAAGCTGATGAAACGTTCAACTTTGCAGAAAGCTGATGAAACATTGCACACAAAGCTGATGAAACATTCAGCATTGCTCAAAGCTGATGAAACATTCAGCATTGCTCAAAGCTGATGAAACATTCATCTTTGCAGAAAGCTGATGAAACATTCAGCATTGCAGAAAGCTGATGAAACATTCAGCATTGCAGAAAGCTGATGAAACATTCAGCATTGCCGAAAGCTGATGAAACATTCAACTTTGCAGAAAGCTGATGAAACATTCAGCATTGCAGAAAAGCTGATGAAACATTCAGCATTGCAGAAAGCTGATGAAACATTCAGCATTGCTCAAAGATGAAACATTCAGCATTGCAGAAAGCTGATGAAACATTCAACTTTGCAGAAAGTTGATGAAACATTCAGCATTGCAGAAAGATGATGAAACATTCAACTTTGCAGAAAGCTGATGAAAACATTCAGCATTGCTCAAAGTTGATGAAACATTCAGCATTGCAGAAAGCTGATGAAACATTCAGCATTGCAGAAAGCTGATGAAACATCTAGCATTGCTCAAAGTTGATGAAACATTCAGCATTGCAGAAAGCTGATGAAACATTCAGCATTGCAGAAAGCTGATGAAACATTCAGCATTGCAGAAAGATGATGAAACATTCAGCATTGCTCAAAAGCTGATGAAACATTCAGCATTGCAGAAAGTTGATGAAACATTCAGCATTGCAGAAAGATGATGAAACATACAACTTTGCAGAAAGCTGATGAAACATTCAGCATTGCTCAAAGCTGATGAAACATTCAGCATTGCTCAAAGCTGATGAAACATACAACTTTGCAGAAAGCTGATGAAACATTCAGCATTGCAGAAAGCTGATGAAACATACAGCATTGCAGAAAGCTGATGAAACATACAGCATTGCAGAAAGATGATGAAACATTCAGCATTGCAGAAAAGCTGATGAAACATACAAACTTTGCAGAAAGCTGATGAAACATTCAGCATTGCAGAAAGCTGATGAAACATTCAGCATTGCAGAAAGCTGATGAAAACATACAGCATTGCAGAAAGATGATGAAACATACAACTTTGCAGAAAGCTGATTGAAACATACAGCATTGCAGAAAGATGATGAAACATTCAGCATTGCAGAAGCTGATGAAACATACAGCATTGCAGAAAGATGATGAAACATTCAGCACTGCAGAAAGCTGATGAAACATTCAGCATTGCAGAAAGCTGATGAAACATACAGCATTGCAGAAAGCTGATGAAACATACAAAACTTTGCAGAAAGCTGATGAAACATTCAGCATTGCAGAAAGATGATGAAACATTCAGCATTGCAGAAAGCTGATGAAACATACAGCATTGCAGAAAGATGATGAAACATTCAGCATTGCAGAAAGCTGATGAAACATTCAGCACTGCAGAAAGCTGATGAAACATTCAGCATTGCAGAAAGCTGATGAAACATACAGCATTGCAGAAAGATGATGAAACATACAACTTTGCAGAAAGCTGATGAAACATTCAACTTTGCAGAAAAGCTGATGAAACATTCAGCATTGCAGAAAGATGATGAAACATTCAGCATTGCTCAAAGCTGATGAAACATTCAGCATTGCAGAAAGCTGATGAAACATTCAGCATTGCAGAAAGCTGATGAAACATACAGCATTGCAGAAAGCTGATGAAACATTCAGCATTGCAGAAAGCTGATGAAACATTCAGCATTGCAGAAAGCTGATGAAACATTCAGCATTGCAGAAAGCTGATGAAACATTCAGCATTGCAGAAAGCTGATGAAACATACAGCATTGCAGAAAGCTGATGAAACATTCAGCATTGCAGAAAGCTGATGAAACATTCAGCATTGCAGAAAGCCGATGAAACATTCAACTTTGCAGAAAGCTGATGAAACATTCATATAGTATTGTAATAATCTGTATCAACTTGGAGGGATAGATATTGGCAGCTAAACAGTGCTGAATGTCTCATGAACTAGCTGTGAGTTGTGATCCTTTTCTGGCAAGATCAAAGCATTATTTCCTGCATATGCACTGATTATCAAACACTGACTAAGATCCAGGCTATGCTTCTGGCTTTCACCAAACTCATGATCTGTGATCATCAGTTGACAAGAATCATATATTTTTTTAGGAAATTTTTGTAAATTTCATCCATACTGACATTCCCTACAAGGTGACCCACATTGATGTTTAATCAGCTTACATATGGATATGTATATGTATTTGAAACAGAATTACTGTAGATCACAAATTAATGCATCATTATCTTCTCTTTTGTAAATAAAACAACATGCTGGTCACAGATGTCTTGTGTTATTGGTAATTATTGTTAACTGTTAAATTTACTAAATTGGTGACGGACATAGAACACCATCATTATGTCAGATGAACACTACTGGCAAGCAAGGTTAAGTTGGACCGATTGTAGAGAACGCGTTTATGAGTAGTAGGCGGTAACGGCAATGAGCAAACCCATTTGGTCTGTGAATGGTAGAGTAGATGTAGGCTAGTGCACATGCATTGCATGACGATGAAATTGATTCTGTACAAAGCTGCTCACGCCTTGCTCATAAGACTCTCCGCGTCGTTAAGCAATATGTGGATACTTACTACTGATTTAGGTGAGTACAATGTTAATAACAAGTTCTTAGAATATCTATAATTTTTAAACTTATCCTATCTCACGACTTGCACCTCTCTCTCTTCATTCGACCATGAGTGGAAACGAATTAAACTTTGCTTGGCCTACCAGGTCCCTGTCCTTGTTGTGCATGCCTTCCTGTCCATGCTCACTATAGTACTGTCCGAAATGAAAAAACTGCATTTTCTCTTTATCCTGCAATTGATGTAGCCATGCTCACTGTTAAAGTCCCTAACTACAGTCATCGGGTAGAGAGATAGGAAGCGGAGGACTCACCCAAATTATCAGAAATGACCTTTTTTTCTAAGGAAAAAACTTATTCTCCTATGGCTTTATGTTTAGCGCGACGATATTGTATTACAGAGGACTTTTTAAATGCCCAATTTGAAATTTTTTCATTATAAAACGATAGCTGGGAAAAAATAATAACTCATGCATGGATGTAGCTACCATGTTCAGGTGCCCGAAAACGAGAAAAGTTTTCTGGATGTCGCCACATCCCACTGAACGAAGTTAGGCCTAATAAAGTCTTTTGCAATTGTTTGGGGACCCAACACACATCGTGGTGTTGATTGTGTGGGTTGTTGTGATTGGGACAAACGCGTTTGATTGTCCTAAACGTTGTCCTAAGTGTTCAGGACTGTCTAAGGAGGATTTTAAAGCTTACAAACGTGCTTGTGCCAGACGTTTGGCAGATAGGGCCAGGAATGTTTCTGCATGAATCTGGTCCATCTCCCACTCAAAACAATGTTTAGATCGCCCTACCCTACCTGCTCGCCATTCTAAATCTCCGTCTCTCCTGACGAAGATTTTATGGATTCTTCGTCCTGATTCCTATTTGTCTGAAAATGTTAAAAGGCTTTTTGGGACGCTTCCCTCACCTAGCTCAAGTTCTCATGGGCATGCAAGGGTGGTAATGACTGATATTTCCTCTACACAAGACTTGCGATCTACTTTATCTCAGATCCGCTTCTTCGGACCGCTCAAAGTCCTCGAAAACTTCTAAATCCAAGCATTCATCATCGGCGTGGATCGGCGCGGTTGGAACGTGAAACGTTCTCCTCTTCGCACTCGTTTCATCCCAATCAAACAATTCACCCACACAAGTTGAGTCACCATCAGGTTCGGAGGGTTCAATTTCGCTCTTCTACTGCTGGGAAAGTGTCGTTCTAGATCTCGCTTCACGCCGAGCTCTTGTCGCCCTTCCAATGTACCAGTCCATTGCAATTCACCACTTTCACCAATCGAATTGGGTCAAACTCAGCCACCGAACGGAACCATTTACCAGACCGAACTTGATTCAATGAGTTAACTCAGCCGAGATGGATCACCAGACCAGGATGAACCAGTTCCACCATTCCGACTCAATTCACCTCAACATATGTTTCAGTTCGACTCACCATCTCATAGTCGAATCAATTCACCACAGCGTATTGATTCACGTAGTCGTTCAGTCTCACCTAGTCGAAGTGGTTCGCAATTTCGATCCGGTTCACCTAGCCATATGGTGTCTTTTCGGCAGAGTGATTCTCATAGTCGGTCTCATTCACCTCAGGTGAATCAGGATATCCCGTCTAGTCAGTCTAGAGCTAGTGAGCACTTGCGGTCAGCGCCTTTACGTGATAGTTCCCCTTATCAACATCGTTCTGTGTGGGTGGTTTCACCTGCTAGGCAGCATTATGGTTCAGTGGATCGGCGTTCACCTTCACGCCATGCCATTTCTACTTTGCCTCGGTCACAGGTTATTGCTGAGTCTTGGAATCCTGCGCTTGATTCCTCTCCAGCGCCGGATTTAGGCACCATGCCCGTGCTGTTACATCGGCTTGGAATCAGTGTCATTCATCCTCTCAAGTTCAACAATCGTCTGCCATACCTAGCAGTAATCGTCCTGTGGATTCGAGGGATCTGACTCGGTCTCAGACTCCTTTACCTTCACCTGGGCAGTCGGACATCTCCACTCCAGATGGCAGTTTTGATGTTATTGAACCGGCTCACGTGCTAGCTTGGATAGTTGAAACACTTCAGCTACCTCTTAGTAAATCTCCAGATGATATGGCCACGTCTTATGCCATGACAAATAGAGATATTTGGATAGTTGAAAAACTTCAGCCACCTCTTATGCCATGACAAATAGAGATATTTCCAGTATCACTTCACACTTCCTTTGCATCCATGTATTCAACAATTACCTTCTTCTCTTGATGCGGCTTTCAAGAAGCTTAGGAGGACGAAGGATGGTTTGTCAGCTCCAAGGTTCCGACCATCGACGGCACATACTCATAGTGTTCAACTTTCCTGCATAAGTCCCCAAACATTTTCTATTGGATTTAGGTCAGGGCTATAGCTTGGCCAATCTAATAATGTCATATTTTGGGTCCGAACATGTGAGCAGATGGAAGTAAATGTCCCTCGAGAATATCTGTGTTCCGCTCACTGTTCATATTTCCTTCAAATACACAGATATGCCACCCCACACTTCAAATTTCGGACTGTACTTCGGGCACTGATACAAAGGTTTTTCAGTTTGTTTGGTCCAGAATTTCAGTGTATTAGGAAACAGCCACACCGAACTTTCATCTGAGAAAATCACATTGTCCCAGTTAAAATTTCTATGCTGTAAGCACCAGTTCAACCTTCGCTTCTTTTGTTCAGGTTTCATGATCGGTGATGGAATTCCTCGACTTTTCTGCCAACCCATTGCATGCAGCTCAGTTCTAATTGTCTCCTTACAGACAGCCACAGTTCCTCTATCAATCATATCCAGCCTTAAGTTTTCTAAACTCCTTCGCTTGTTTTTAGAAACAAGAATACCAAGCCGCCTCCTGTCACCGACAGTCAATATTCTGGGCCTACCTGCGCCTCCCTGGTGCTCAATGCCATATCCATTTGCAATATTTTTCAAAACACGATAAACAGTGGACAAAGGGATGCCTGTTCTACTTGAAATCACTTTAGCTGATCTAATGTCCTTGTTATAATACTCTAAAATCAACTTCCACTTCTCTATATCATCCATATTGAGGATCACTGAAAATGTCGTCAGCTAGCAAGTAAACAAAGGGGGATAACTCTTCACAAACTAATGAAAAATGATTAACGGAGTTGTCTCTCTTGAATGAAACCAAGCACTTGATAGCTGGTCAAGGTTGTTCATACTAGAAATCCAATTAAACATATTCCTAAAATTCTCAATAATTTCTGGTCATACTATAAATATACAATTTATAGTTAAAATTTCCAATATTCTTTGTTAAATATCAAAATTCTCTGGAAAGGTTAATACTAATTTTTGCATCAGTTTTTGGGCAAAATACTAATTGGGCTAAATTAGGGTTGGCATCTCTGATTATCAGGCATGGCACAAGTGGCAAATTGAACTTGTCTGTGAACTGGATGGTAGGTTTCCGTGGAACATTTTTCTGAGCATTGTAGGTTGATTGGATGAAATATCCTTGATCAAGTTTAATGGTGGGTTTTCGATGATTCAGTAAGTTGGCGTTAGCTGAAGTCAGTTTGATTATTAGCAATGGTGATGTCATTGAAGTTGTGATGACTAGGGTTTGATTTGATGCAACAGAGATGACTGATATGTTATCGAAATAGTCAAGGAAATATGATTATCTTTCACTCTTGGTGGCTCAGGTTCTTCGGCGATAAAACTCCTGTCCACAATCAGTTTATTATAAACTGACGTCCCAAAAAAACTTTACAACTGTCAAACCTTAAAATATCGAAATCTGAAAAACTAGGTGAAACAAATTTAGTGTGAAATACATAGCCCAAACGCAACAATGTTGTATGCAGTGTATGGTCACCGTGCACGGCATGTTTGTTGAATAAAACGCGAAAATTGAAAAAACGTGCTGTAGCCGTAACTGCAGCTGTTCTTTACGTTGTGCTCCAGTGTTCTGTACGTTGACTGTCATCTTTTCAATAAATTTGATTTCATGCGTCTATCTTGTGTAGTTTTTACTCCAGGTCGACTTCTATCTGTTTTAAAGGGGTTTTTTGACATCAGTTTATATATAACACATTTCGGCTTGACGTTAACAGTTATTTTCTTCCATTATCATGGAGAAGGTTTTTGAGGTGAGGTGAGTTGAGGTGAAATTGGGTTTAACGTCGTGCTTGAGAATATTTCGCTCATATGACGACGTGCATGCGTGTGTATGTGAATGTGCGGCTGCTTGTACTAGCCCAGACTTAAGCTGGTTTTATAGTGCTAGCTCACAGAGATACCATGACGCAGTGAAGCATGAATACCCCACTCAGACACATTATACTGACTCCGAGCCGACCAGTCCTTGTTGTACCCATTAATGCCGAGCACCAGGCAGGGACCAACAAGTACCATATTTTAACGTCTTTTGGTATGACGCGGTCGGGGATCGAACCCGCGACCTTCCGCTCTCCGGGTGGATGCTCTAACCACTACACCACGGAGGCGGTCGAAGGTTTGTGAGGCTGGACTGTTTGTTTCAGGAGGGTGATGGTTGCTGCAATGGTTCTGCTGACCATTTGGACTGGATAATGGTGTAGTTCTACAAAAACTTTCTTCCAGTGTTCAATTTCTTGTAGATATGTTGATATGTTCTTCGCTCATCTGGTTGATATTCAGATGATGCCATCAAACCACCGTGTACAGAAAAACAACCCATGCAGATCAATACATCTCAAACCATCTTCCACATTGCGTAGATCGATGCTCATGTTGATCACTGGATTGTCTGGTTCAGACTCAATTATTTACAGACCACCGCCATATTCAAGGTGAAATAACGTTTATTTCCAAAGTAAATTTAATGTAACAAATTTGCTAAGTCTACAAAATAATTTCTCTAGATCTAGTTGTCCTTCAAAGAAAGTTATCAAAACCATGCAGCAACCTACAGGTACGCCATATCTCATACAAATGAAAGTTAAATAAGCAGTTACCATGGTAACAGGCATTCTTAAGATTTATTTATTTACTGATTTAGTGAACGAAATTTTACAGATGACAGAAAAGGCATCAGTGTAATTTTCAGGTAACCATTGTAATACTATAAAAGTTGTGATTGGATTTCATAGATTCTGAATAAGTAAGGTAATTACTTTACAATCCATTTTGTACACAAACATAACTTCATTCTGACACTTTCATCACTGACGTGACTTCCTGAACAAAAAGTAGATGTGAATCGAGAGAGATATCAACTAGCAGTCGTAATTGTCACATTTCTAAAAATGCCTATCAAAGACGTCGTTACATCAGGTTTAATTTTTGCAGAATCCAAAGATATTTTATTTTATCCTGGCCAGAGTGTTAATGATAGGATTTACACTTGGATTGAGATCAAAATAATGCTACACATTAAGCTATCTTCTTTACTGTGTGGAGCATCTGTAAAGTTCTGGGTTTAGTCTTCGGTAACCCTTGCTTGTTATAAGGTGACCAATGTGATCGGTTGGTCAGGCACGCTGATTCATGTCAAGTTGCGTAGACTGATGCTCTCGTCAATCACTGGATTGTCTGGTCCAGATTGGATTATTTACAGACCACTAAAATGCAGCTGGATTTCAACACAAAACAAACAAGAAACAAATACAAGCTGAAGCATCTGGGATAACCTGCGTTATAAAGTTTCTGAAAAGTAACATCAGAACATCTTTTTATGCTGAAACTAAATACTACTTGTCATAAAACTGATCTGATAACATTCATCCCATCATCCCCATCTTGTCAACTAATTTGGCTAACTGGTGAAACTCTGTTTCTCCAACCACCTTTGACCTGATACCACATCTTTATGAATAAAGAAACAACATATTCTTTCAAGCAAATAATGAGGTGTTTCATAAAGTGATTTTCATAAACAACAGTTAACAATGTCTATACTTTGCTAAAACAATACATAAAATACACGCAACAACATTCAAATGTGAAATTCTCCAACTTTAAAATATCAGTATATCTATGAACATGGACAGTTGAATACAGCACAACCTGAAGATGAGCTAGTCTTTCCTATTTTTATGTACAAAATTTAGAAAAGTTACAAAAATATTCTACTGTGTAACAATTCATTGAAAATGTCTATTCTGGATTTTCTGTACAGTGATATTAAAACAACTATGGGTTTTAAGATTTTAAGGGAAGTAAAACTGATTGCATCTTATTAAGAAATCATAAAAACAGGTTCCAACAGTTGTTTGAAAAACAATAAACTTGTTTTATCTTAAACAATACATTTGCTTTATCCTAGAAAGACTATAGCTCCAGAAAAGCTTTAAGTCTCAAACACAAAGTCAAATAAGCTGATTTTGGGTAAAGTTTTTATAAAAGGAGACGAGTCAAGTTTCATCTGCAAATCTTGTAAAAGTGTTTTGAAATCCAGGATCTTGTATGAAGAGGGACAGACATTTTACATATTTTGGCTTCGTTTAATAAAGACATGTGAACACATCAAAGCTATTCCAATGAGGCAGGCCTGTTTCTATTTGAGACTGAGATTCTCTTATTATGTTCAGATGAATCTCATCTTCATTTCAACCAGTAACTGTGTGAAGTGAATCATTCAGAAGACGCTTTAGTTCTTGAATATAGTGCAAGGTATGTTATAGATGGTGATTTGCATTCCTATCAAATAGAACTATTATTTTAAAAAATTCCAAATCTGATCATGCTCCTCGAAGTATAAGCATTCGACAAAAGAGAACATGAGTGTCTCCAGAATTACCTTATCTGGAGTCACTAACCCTGAACTTACTCTGTAAATCCTGAACTTAATCTGTTATCCCCACCCTTAATTTCGAACCCCCAACCCTGGAGGTCCTACCCAACTCCAGAAACCCCAAACTTAATTTGGAATTGGTGACCCACATCCGGAACCCTCACACCCAATTTGGAGCTCCTAAACCAAATCCTGTTTCCTCAGGGTCTCCAGCTTACTCTTGTATGTATTATACTAAACTGAATTGGATTATTAAATGTGTGCACGAAACAAAAACAAAAGGTAAAAATTTGATCTTATCTACCAAATTTGGGGAGGTTCAGAAATAGGAAACTAAATATTTGTTTATTTTGGCTTTAATCTAAATTTTATTGTTTAATATTTTATACATTGATGGATATTTGCACTGATGCACTGATTTTTATGTTACTGTACTATGGATTAATGGAAGTCCATTTCAACCCTTGAAATATAAGTCAGATTATATCAGAGCTGATAATAGCAAGTTTACATTAACATATGTTTTCAAATAGTGAGGCAGGTCAATGATATTTTGGCAAATAAACATGACAAAGTGATACATGGCCCAGCAGAATGTCATACAAACAAGCGCTTCTAGTTATATTGTTAGTCCAAGTTACTTTCGCGACCAACTCATATTTTTCCGAGACAACCCAAATAGTTACTCACATATTTTTACGACTATTTTTGTGACGGGTTCAATCTGAGCGCAAACAGGTATAGCTAAAAGATTTGTGAACTCGTGTAATGTTTCACATATATTTTCTCCAGATATCATAAATATTACACCTGCTTTCTAAAACACATCTCACTTGTACTGATAAACAGTATGATCAAGCACAACTGTATTTTAGGGATGATTTTAGATACATGTACACAATATGTGTAAAAAACAAAAATTCCAAAGGGATTCTTTGACTGAAGTACTTGCAATCATACACGCATTCTGATTGGTTGGTCAATTTTCTCATACATAATACATAGCTTTCTTCAATAGGAGGGGGACGAGTCTTCTTGCAGACTGGTTATGGAACGGGGCGAGTGGCAACGAGTGTAAATGATCAACTTCCTGATGGTAATTAAGACAAGTCTAAAAATATTGTAGAATTCGTTAGGTTGTTCTTTCCTGAAGACTAATAATCAATATCGGATGGCTTGGACGTGGCATCCATCCCTGATTCGGCTGTATCTGAGGTGTGATGACAGTTCAGTTTTGCTTCGATGGGTAGATTCGACCACATTGTTGTTGGTTTATCGGAAGTATTTGTGATACGCATATCCTCCAGCCCCTGCGGCTGAAAACAGTGTTGTCACGCCGAGAAGTTTCAACAACCCAGGGACTGATGGAGCATTTCTTTCCCAGAAGGAGCTGTCGAATGGCCGTGGTTTCACTTCCTGGAAAAGAAAAAATCACAGATTTCTTCAGTTATGTTTGATGAATTTGTTTATAAATCCTCCCAATTGTATACATTGATGCACATGCTGTTGATCACTGGATTGTCCGATACTGACTCAATTATTTGCAGACCGCCACCACATAGCTGGAATATTGCTGAGTGCGTCGTTACATAACAAACAAATATGTCAACAAATGCAGTAAACTAAGGTTATCACGAACTCAGGGGTGTCTTGTTTAGTTCATTTTTACAGTAGTTCATTATAACAGTAGTCCATTATCATTAGGGTTGTGCAATATAACCGGTTTACTGGTTTAGCAGGCAATTTCTTCGCCGGTCTAAAGTTTCCCCGGGGAGAATCTGGCCTAGGCCAAACTTTCCCCCCCAGGCCAAAGTTTCCCCCTTATTTAAACTAGTATTTTTTCATTCTGTTTTCTATGAAAAGGGGGGAGATTCTGGCCTAGCTAGGCCACTTCTTCCCCACCCTTGTTCCTATATCAAAAGGGGGGAATTCTCTAATCTAATATTTGTTGTATTTATGTATAATGTAGTGGAACATTATTTACATAAGCTTGTTCACTAATCCATAATCACTTTTGGTGAATGAAACATGTGTCAGACAATTCCATGGCCCAAGTATACCCCTTTTAAAACCTTGTCTTTTGAATATAGAATAAGGCAATATAGTGGAATGATAGATGATACAGCATTTGATATAGATATTGTGTTGGGTTGCTGTTGTGTTGATGTTTATGTCTGCTTCCGACTGTTAAGTTGATGTCGCCAACATGGATGCCATATTTAAAGCCATGAGTGAGGGAATAAAATTTTGAATGGATATGGACATCCAAGTAAAAACTGGGACTTAAGTTAAAGTTTTGAATATAGCAATGATTTTGAGATAAGCCAATTTGGAATAATTGGGGATAAGTAAAGTAATGAAATATAAAAATAAGTGAATGATAATATAATGAGTGAGTGAGTGACTTTGGTTTTACGCACACTCAGCAATATTCCAGCTATATGGCGGTGGTCTGTAAATAAAGGAGTCTGGACCAGACAAACCAGTGATCAACAGCATGAGCATCAATCTGCTCAATTGGGAACCAATGACATGTGTCAACCAAGTCAGCAAGCCTGACCACCCGATCCCGTTAGTCGCCTCTTATGACAAGCATAGTCGCCTAATTATAACGTAAACATTCCCTCTGGATTATGGTAGCCTTATTCCTGTGGATTCACAGAATACATACAGAAAATCAAAAGAAATTTTAACACTAAGTCATAGCTATTCCTAGTGGTATATCTAATCTACCCCTGAGTTATCTCCCTTGATCCTGACGTCACTGTATTGTTCTCCTAGAACCCTTCATAATTTTTCTAAAAAACAACACATCAATGACATCTAAGGATAAATTCGCGGGGAGGACACAGGGTGGGAACCTATTGCGATACGCTGATCGAAAACCTGTATTTTGACATGCATTCGCAAAACTTTGTAATACTCGGAAATCTTCGGATATTTCCTTGTTTCATTTGTGCCAAATATTATTTACATTTTATTTTGTCATCATTAAAAGTTTTTATTAAAGCTTAATCAAGCATAGTGATTTTGTTGTGTTTTTGCTTTCATAAATCAAGCATTAACTCGATTATAAGTAGTTTTTGTTAAAAAACACTTCTTGCAATACATATCGCAATATATGCTTTCGCATTGCAATATGAACACTATCTGCAATACCCACCCCTAGTTATAATGGTAGTTCGTTATAATAGTCGTTCGTTATGAGCATTTTGACTAACCTATACAGCAAGTGGTCTGGTTAAAAACAAAACACTTTGTTTTATCCGTTAATTATAAGTGTGTTCATCATAAATGATGTTTACTAAAGTGCTACAGCACTTTACTTTGAAATAGTTTGAAATGTCAACAAAATAGCCAATTAGTTGCCGTCAGTAGCCAAATTGATGAATTAATCTCTTGAACAAATTCTGTTGTCAACATTGACAGGAAGAAGTATGTAAAGTTTCATCATTATGGGAGATGTGCTTTTTGAGATGCCAAGTAAACAGACTATGACTTTCATTTCCAGTTAGGTGATCTAAAAGGTCTTGGCACATGGGTGCCATTGTACAAAGCGATCTTAAATCTTAACATAGATATAAGTTTGTCTTACCGCTAAGGTTGTTAAACACTGGATTGCTTGGTCCAGACTTGATTATTTACAGGCAACCATCATGTGTTACTGTACCCTCAACGTAACATTTTGCTGCAAATTTTGTATAGATAGGGATGTATTTTTACAAGGCTTTCTGATTTATGAGTTAGATATTGTTTGTTTATGTTTGGGGCTGTGCATTGTAATTGAATTTTAATATTTTTATAATACAAAGTAATGTGATAGTTAGGTTCCCTAATAATTGTGGAGGAAAAATCATATAATTGTTTTTTTAGAGTTTAATAAATGTTTTATAAGCATTTCCATCACGTCTGTTGTGTTGATATTAGCCATATTGGTGGTCAAGCTGAAGTTGTGCGGCAGTGTTGTACACGTGCGTAGTAAAGCGGTGACGCATATTTAATCCAGGATTGATCGTGTCTAATTTTATTGATTGTCTAATCAAATTTGAGTATTTCACATAGTCATGGTAGAATGTCTTTAGCGGCATTAAAATGGAAGTAAAGGGATCTGTAATGATCCCGAAACGTTGTGTGGGAAAGAAACAAGCAGCTTAAATCCATAAAATATCTTGCCATCATGTTGTTGGAATATTGCTGAGGGCAGTGCTATAAACTCAACCAATAGATGAACATCTTACCGCATCTTCTGGCTCTGTCTGCCAGATTTGGTCAGCCCTGATTTTGCCCATGGTGTGGAGAATCTGGGAACAGAACGGGATACAGCATGAACATGTGATGAGATACACTGACAAATTGTCTTAGGTTACATTCCTCTGAACATGATATGCTAGAGTTACGCACGATGTTCTGGTATTGTACCTGTTCTTGTGCCTACACGATGCTCTAGAGTTACATTGCTCCGAACATGATATGCTAGAGTTACGCATGATGTTCTGGTGTTGTACTTGTTCTTGTGCCTACACGATGCTCTAGAGTTACATTTCATTGCTCCGAACATGATATGCTAGAGTTACGCATGATGTTCTGGTGTTGTACCTGTTCTTGTGCCTACACGATGCTCTAGGGTTACATTGCTCCGAACATGATATGCTAGAGTTACGCATGATGTTCTGGTGTTGTACCTGTTCTTGTGCCTACACGATGCTCTAGGGTTACATTGCTCCGAACATGAGCGGAAGGTCGCGGGTTCGATCCCCGACCGCGTCATACCAAAAGACGCTAAAATACGGTACTTGTTGGTCCCTGCCTGGCGCCCGGCATTAATGGGTACAACAAGGACTGGTCGGCTCGGAGTCAGTATAATGTGTCTGAGTGGGGTATTCATGCTTCACTGCGGCATGGTATCTCAGTGGGCTAGCACTATAAAACCAGCTTCAGTCTGGGCTAGTACAAGCAGCCACAAATACACACGCATGCACGTCGTCATATGAGCGAAAATTTCTCAAGCACGACGTTAACCTCATATCACCTCACCTCACTTCCCTTGTATACTGAATATCATAAACAGTGAGTGAGTTTACTTTTATGTCACTTTTAGCAATATTCCTTCGATATCACGGCGGGGTACACCAGAAATGGGCTTTACACATTGTACCCACGTAGGGAATCAAACCCATGTCTTTGGCATGACGATTGAACGCCTTAACCACAAGTCTACCCCACTGCCCCCACAAGCAATTAATTGTCTATGTGTGAAACATAACTAAGCCTGTCATTCAACATGAGCCAACAGTATTCAAGTTGACACTAGGACAAGCTACCTGATGAACCAGCACTGTCTCTCACACATTGCTGCCGTAAATTTTACAACAGATGTCATTCATTTCAGGCTTTGAATATAACTAGTAGTAAACAACTAACAAAATATTAAGAATGATGACAACAACTGACATGTTATTACAACCCATCAGAATAAATATAGGATATTATATGAGTGCCCATGTCGTACAATGTTTACGACACGAGTGCCTAAATGTTGGTATTTCCTGAGCGAGAGCGAGGGATATACCGATATTTAGGCACGAGTGTTGTAAACATAGTATGATACAGATACAAATATAATATTCTGTGTATTGCCAGTGTTCGAAATAAGTGCCTGCCCGCTAGCAAAATGCTAGTTGACCTTTGCTCGGGCCTGTCAAAAGTTGCTGAAGCTGGCCCGCCTGGCTAGTGATAATTTAGGAGCTGATCATGTCCTCAAAAACACAAACAAATAGTCAAATGCACGTTGTTACAAATAACTATCTAAATCGTAAGCAGTAACGTCATTGGTCAGATTCTGAAGTGCCAGAGTATGACCCCAATGAAGCCATTCACCACTGGTTGAAAGTAAAACCCAGGCGGCTGAGGAGGGTTTAGTATGTCTCACAGTCCCTGAACCACATTATTGTCCCTAATGCCTAGCCCTCCCTGCAGTACTAAAGCTCTAAATGAAGCAAGTCTAGATTTTCTCAGGTTCAGGTTCCTGAATCTCTGGGCTCACTGGGACTCCTTTTCAATTTAAATGGGTTTATTTGTTACTATCAAAATTATATATATTTTCAGGGACTAATCATTTTTCTAGTCTGTTCTCTAACCAGGAATAAACAGATACAAGAACAATGCTCCATGTAACTGCTGTGCGGAAGATGCTGCTTAGTCCTAATGTCTGTGTCCTGTTCGTACACAATGGACCAGCACTCAAAGTAAAGTCAGTCGACTTCCTGACATTGTGTCACTGACGGGAAATACAATAAAAAGGAGCCCAGGGACTTTCTTCATTTTCAGAAGCTGTGGAAATTTAGACTTGCCACATTTTCTAGACTTGCGTGGGATTTCTTAGATACATTTGCTTCAGGGTCTGTATGACAGACTATCATTCCCAGTGAGAGTGGACAATTGCAGTCGTTGAGTTTGCAAGATGCGATTCATGAGGCCAAAATCACTTTTAGATCTTTAAATACATTAATGATAACAAGTAAAGAATAGAAAACTTAACACGTCATTGAAACAAATGCCTAGTATGGATTGACATACATGGGTAGGGGGTACGGTTTTATTGGTGTCGGTGAGTGACGTTCCCGTCAATAAAAGCTGCCTCTAAGATGACCACCGCTACCACAAGTCAAATGTAGTTAAGTTTTGAAAGCAATCAGGAACTGTTTATGAAAAAACCCCATCAAGTACACCTGTGCAAACATACAAACTTGTAATGTAAGCAACAAACAATTGTCGACAGCACGCGTGTAATTTACGTTAGGTCAGATTGTATTACCCACAACTAAAAACTAGAAACTGTTACAATATCAAATTGAGTGAGTGTGTGAGTTACAATTTAGTCACTTTGGCAATATTTCAGCCATATCGTGACTAAAACAGTTAATATGTAACTACTTTATAATGTTATAACAGGGGTTCAAAATCTTTTTAAAAAGTCACTTGCCACTGGGCAAGTGACTTGAAGAAAGTAACTTGTCCTGACTAATTTTCCACTTGCCCCGCTTTTATGACATAATCATGATGTAATTATGAAAGAAGAAACCAACATGGTATTTGATGTTAATGCTTACTGGACTATTTATTGAAAAGTGATAAATAGCAAAGAAAGATAACTCTACTTTATTATCATTGCGACTGACTGACTGAGTTTGGTTTTACGCCGCTTTGAGCAATATTCCAGCAACATCACAGTGGGGAACACCAGAAATGGGCTTCACACATTGTACCCATGTGGGGATTCGAACCCGGGTCTTTAGCGTGACGAGCCAACGCTTTAACCACTAGGCTACCCCACCGCCCTTATCATTGCGAAATTTAATAGCTACATTTTGAGCAGATATGGAATTTAATCCAAGTTTATTTGCAGTTTGAAACCATATGTGGAAATTATCTAGCAGCCCACGGACAAGTAAGATACCATTATTTGATTCCCCGAAATGAAAACTGACTTGTCCCGGGCGTCGGGCAATGGGATGTTTGAACCCCTGGTTAAAATATAAAATCTGTCTCGAAAGGACAGTAAACAACTAGCATATCACAGTTAGAGATTTAAAACTAGCATTGAACTTAAAATCATATACTATATAGTACAATACAATATAAAAGCTGGCTATAGATAACAGCAACTGAAGGTAGACCACCATACTAGGGCCATGGGGACTTGCAGTACATTAGCTTCCTGCTTGGGCCCTAGCTGGATTTACATCATCCCTTCAGCTGTTAGCAATTTAGATGTAATTAACCATACATTAAAAATACACATATGCTACGATTAAAAAAGTGGAGAGTTTAAATTTACTTTGAATGTTTTGGGACTTACGTACCCTCTCAGGAGGACAATAATTTTACAGTGTTACAATACCAAAAAATGAATGATATAGTTTAGACAACAAGCAGGTTATGTCTACGAGAGATACAGGTTAGTTGTACACAGACCAGTAATGTTCGTTTTAAAGACCGATTTTTTAAGAACGTAATCATACGTGACCGTTATTGATATTGTAACTTTGCTACGAGGCATTATGAACCAACATTTCCTTCTATAGTTTAATACAGCATTGACGCAGACAGACAGCCTCAGAACCCGGATGATCACTTTAGATAAACAAAATGTAATTTAAGTTTTGTAATTTACGTTTAATTGACAGTTATAAATGGTCCATGACGTTACACGGGAAACCCCAAAACACCAACAATCACGTGTTGGTAACCGAATTTCTGCATGCGAGCAAAGCAATGCTCATTCTATGGATTCCACTGTCGATCATACCACTTTTTGACCCTAACGTAAATTACGAAAGGTGTTAGGTAAATTTCATACAAATATTTCTTTCGGAATCATTACTTAAGATGATAAAACGATTTAACATGTTGATGAAATTGAAGCGTACGTTTTGTCAACTATACAGATTGTTCTTTGATTTACCATAAATGAGGTTAGATACAAAAGTAAACAAATGTTTTATTCCAATGTCTCACTGTGTAATTGTTGCTTGTAGATATCTCAATGTTGCACGACTGTCTCGGACATGTTTTCAGAAATATGTTACATATCTGTAGCAAAGATTTTTACTGTTTTTGTCATCTGTGGAGTTTGATCGAAATTCAGTCTTTGAATTTAACATGAAAGTAAGTTACAACATAATATACGTCACGCAGTAGAACTGTAAGATGGTAAAGCCAAAATATATTCATTCCCATTTTGTACCGGTATGATTCCATGGCGTTTTCTTGAAAGGGAACGTTTTATTTTCAGGCTTCTGATTTAATCTTCGATACAATGTAAATGTGCTATGCGTGGTTCAGTCAATTCTGGATCTTGAACAGGTATTATGTGGCGTCAACAGTGTGACATATGCTTTACTGAGTACACATTTTTTATGTTTTTCAGATGTATTAATTGTTTCTTTATTCGATGTTTGAATCAAAACAAGAACAAAAGAGTTCATTTTCTCGTGGTTTATGTTGGTACTACTAGTTACCCATGAATGTAAATTACTTGGGCTCTTACAGGTACCTTACTTCAAACTAGTGCTGCAAGTTTAATAATGTTCACTGAGTGCTGAAAAAGTACAGACTGTTCATTTACAAGTTGTAGTTTTGGAAAATAACTTTTTTTTGGACTGAAGTGATTTTGGTTTTTTTCACTATCCTCTCTGAATTGTGCAGTTTCGTTGGGAATGATTAGATGACTGAAGTCCGTAAGATAATTTAATATGAAGATAATTTGAAAATATATGGGTATTCTTAGAGTGTGTCCCATCAATGTCAGAGGCTCAGAGTTAATAGTTTGAAACAATTATTTTGTGAAATGAATATTCTAATTATTCTCATATGTGCTGTTTTATTGTCTATAAATTACCATGAATTAATCGGGCCAGTAAGGTATCTGAAGGTCTAGTGACATATTTGGGCCATTAGCCCCACCTGCTAGTGACAGTTTGAATCTATTTCTAACACTGTTTATTACCGAAGTTGTCAAATTGAAAATAAACCCAAATCTGCTTTCAAACATAGGCTGGCTACGCTGCCGCATGTAGAACGCAAAGTCACAGAAGAAACGTGACGTCATTGCATTGTTCATGACGTCACACCACCATAACAAAGTGATATTTTGCCCTAGGGCATCGTATGAAAAATATGAACCCCTATATTTTCGCCCTCGTAGGTAATAAAACACAATAGTTGTTCCGAATGTTATATAAACTCAGACACATTTTGAACCAAAACATACTATTCCTTTGAATCCATAATTCATTGTAAACCAAAAGTCACTGTCAGGGCTCCAGATAAGGGCCGTATCGGCGTATGTACGGATATAAAATAGGCACGATACAGTAGGAAATAATTTTAGAAAACGTAGCAGATACGCACTACAGCAATGGTGTAGGGTCTTAGAATCATTTAGAGACGAATTTTTTTTAAGTATTGTTTTATTGTTTATTGACCTGTTTAGATAAGAGATCAATGTTGTGGTGCATATAAGAACGAAACACAAGATTACTGATACTTCTGTAAGTCCAACTTGTACTCCTAATTGTTTTCCAGTACTCCACTGTTGAAAATATAAGGAGTACGTACGTACTCCTGATGTTGAAAAATTATCTGGAGCCCTGCACTGTGAGCTGTAATCTGATTGGTTGAAAAACATGATCGAATGGTATTCGATTCCTGAAAATTGCAAGACTATTCACTGTGTATTGACACGTACATTTATCATCCAAAACTGTGTTCCACAGGAGATATCGCTTGTGTGAGATCAAACGATATCTCCTAGGAGATATCGTTTTGACAGTAGATTTTGTACAATGCCCTGACAATGCTATGACGTCATGTACTTGATGACATAACAATGCTATGACATCGCTGTACTGCAAGTCTAATGGCAGTACCATGTTCAGAGGTGTACATTTTCATTGAAAATTAATGAAGAGTGATTCTGGATGATAAATAGAATCTCACCCTCGTGTCTTCTGATATCAAATATATCAACACTCGTTGATAAAGTAAAAATATCCTCGGCAAGCCTCGGATATTTGTAACTTTATCAACTTGTGTTGATATAATTGATATCAGAAGACACTTGGGTGAGATTCTCTATATATCGCACACAATTGTATTGTTGCGTCATCAGCTGTGGTGACGTATTTCAAATCATATTGTCACGTTAAGTCCAGATGCTGCAGATGCAATTCTACATGCTACCATGGGAACCCGCCGAAATCGGCGGCTGATGAAACTTTGCTGATGTACCCATACTTGATGTCAATGAGTGCAGACACAGTGTGTGGACCTTTTGGTTTACTTTTGTGTTTATAATGTCGATAAACATCATGTGTTGGCCAATTTCTGTGTGTTATTGAATATTTGAAGCGCGGGAATATTTCATTATTCGCCATCGGTCCCAAATGAATTCCCATGCTTTAAATACTCAATAACACCGGAAATTGGCTAACACATGATGTTTATCTCCTAATTCACAGTTCCACATGTTCATGTTTCATATCATATGACTTCACTTCCTGGTCTAATGTACCTGCATATCATGGAATAAACATGGTTGTCACACTGGTTCATGTCTCGCGTTCATTATTAGGAGAAATTATGTAACACATTTTAGGAAGTTAGGGATTTCATCAACTAGGGAACTTTTCAACTAACAACATGACAGGAAAGTGTGAACCACATAGACCAAAAGTAATTGCAGGCAATTGTAGACAAAAAATGAAATGAATGACTTTCAGGTACAATTCCGGTACAACCCCCCAATTACCAACCAACAATGACAAATGATGGTCCAGTGATCGAGTGTTGCACGTGATGTTAGAGTGTTGAATACGATCTTTGATTGTTACACAGGATGTTAGAGTGTTGAATACGATCTTTGATTGTTATACAGGATGTTAGAGTGTTGAATACGATCTTTGATTGTTACACAGGATGTTAGAGTGTTGAATACGATCTTTGATTGTTACACAGGATGTTAGAGTGTTGAATACGATCTTTGATTGTTACACAGGATGTTAGAGTGTTGAATACGATCTTTGATTGTTACACAGGATGTTTGAGTGTTGAATATGATGTTCAAATGTTGCAGATATTGTTCCATTGTCGCGTGTTGAATATGATGTTGGATTGTCACACAAGATGTTTAAGTTGCACATGATGTCCAAATGTTGCACATAATGTTCCACTGTCACATAGTATTTCTTAGCGTTGCACATGATGTTCAAATATTGGACAGTATGTTCCATTGTCACACAAGATTTATGAGTGTTGCACATTATGTTTAGTTGTCACACAGGATATTTGTGTGTTGCACATGATGTTCGATTGCCACACAGGATGTTCAGCTGTTGCACATGACGTCCAGTTACCACCTAGGATGTTCAACAGTTGGACATGATGTTCGATTGCCAAACAGGATGTTCAACAATTGCACATGACGTCCAGTTACCACACATGATGTTCAACTATTGCACATGACGTCCAGTTACCACACAGGATGTTCAACTATTGCACATGACGTCCAGTTACCACACAGGATGTTCAACTATTGCACATGACGTCCAGTTACCACACATGATGTTCAACTATTGCACATGACGTCCAGTTACCACACAGGATGTTCAACTATTGCACATGACGTCCAGTTACCACACAGGATGTTCAACTATTGCACATGACGTCCAGTTACCACACAGGATGTTCAACAATTGCACATGACGTCCAGTTACCACACATGATGTTCAACTATTGCACATGACGTCCAGTTACCACACAGGATGTTCAACTATTGCACATGACGTCCAGTTACCACACAGGATGTTCAACTATTGCACATGACGTCCAGTTACCACACAGGATGTTCAACTATTGCACATGACGTCCAGTTACCACACATGATGTTCAACTATTGCACATGACGTTCAATTGTTAGACATTGTGTTTGAGCACAGGATGTTGTTCTGGGACAAATAATGTCATACTGTTCTCCCATTACACACTAACTTCTGCTGTTATACATTATGTTCTCCCATTACACAGGATGTGTGTTACATACACTGATCTAGAGTCATGCTGTCATTCTAAAGTTAATACACTTAATGTACCAGCATCCCACAAGATGCAGTTAAAAGTCGTCTCCTACCTCTCTGGCAGCCCGCTCCCCAGCTTGCACTGCGCCGTCCATGTAGCCGGACCACTTGGTTGCCGTCTCGGTCCCAGCAAAGTACATCCTGCCGATGGGCTTCCTCAGATCACTGAAGAATTACAGTATATATAAAAAAAGTGATGTGATGCTTGCCAACCCCCTCTAAATTCTGGTCAAAATAATTTCTACCATGCCCAAACTTTAAACCTGTTATACCAATCTTGATTTCCCGTCAGACCCAAGTGGGCAAACGGCAGCGAACTTGGATGTTTTCTTTCTATCAGATGTACCAAACAGTATCATGATTCTTCATAAAAAAGGGACACAAAAGGGCCCAGTCATGTCGGGTACCGCAATTAAAATGTAATTTTGGAGTAAAATTGATATTTTATACTTATCCTGACTCATGCTCTTTTGCTTGTCTTCTTCTTCTTGCTAACATAGTGGAACACTTGTATCTCCCTAATTGAAGCTCCCTTCAATTTAAAATCACTAATTAGTATTCACCACGAAGCTACCTCCTTTCACAAGCTGAACGAGGGCTTCACCTCTACCCATGTGCCTCACTCTCCTCATATACTGAGCCCAACATTTGAATTTACAGGAAATCCAAAGTGTTATTTGGGGAGGATGGGAGGGCTGACCTCATGAGTCAGGATAAGTATAAAATATCAATTTTACTCCAAAAATTACATATTTTTCCTTATCCTGACTCATGCTCTTTTTGCTTGTAGCATCCTACGGAACGGAGGTGGGAATATCTAATACTTTGGATTTTAATAATTAGTGATTTGAACTGTGATGATTGTAATAACCCTATGGGAACTTCATAAAGGCACTGAACTGATGAATTCCTGCTGCTAACTTATCAGCTGCCATATAAAAGGTTATTATCATGTACTTATTATGATAAAGTATATATAACATTAATACAATGCTTAAGACTAATAGACTTAAGCTTGTTAATATGCTAGTATAAACTCCTTAGAGTTTGTTAGCTAAAATACTTTAAGATATAACATAGTACTAAGCTTAAGATATGATTAAACTTAAGCTAATTATATAATAGCAAACTCTTTAGAGTTTGTTAGTTAATATACTTATATGATATAGATATAATGCTGAGCTTAAGATATGAATAAGCTTTAGCTACATATATAATAGCAAAAACTCTGTAGAGTTTGTTAGCTAATATATTTTTTTTATAATATGAGTATAGTACTGTGCTTAAGCTATAATTAACTTAAGCTACATATATAATAGCCAAACTCTGTAGAGTTTGTTAGCTAATATATTTTTATAATATGAGTATAGTACTGTGCTTAAGCTATAATTAACTTAAGCTACATATATAATAGCCAAACTCTGTAGAGTTTGTTAGCTAATATATATTTATAATATTAGTATAGTACTGAGCTTAAGATATAATTAACTTAAGCTACATATATATAGCAAAACTCTGTAGGGTTTTGTTAGCTAATATATTTTTACAATATGAGTATAGTAGTGTGCTTAAGATATAATTAACTTAAGCTACATATATAATAGCAAAACCCGTGAGAGTTTGTTAGCTAATATATTTTACAATATGAGTATAGTAGTGTGCTTAAGATATAATGAACTTAAGCTACATATATAATAGCAAAACCCCGAGAGTTTGTTAGCTAATATATTTTACAATATGAGTATAGTATTGTGCTTAAGATATTATTAACTTAAGCTACATATATAATAGCCAAAAACTCTGTAGAGTTTATTAGCTAATATGTTTATAGTGTAACCATAGTACTAAGCTTAAGATAAGATTAGATTCTAAGCTAAAAGTATATAGCAAAATAAACTCCTTAGAGTTTATTAACTAATATACTTTTATGTTAAAAACATAGTACTGAGCTTAAGTTATGATGAAACTTAAGCTATATATATATAATAACAAAACCTCACCGAAGTTTTGTTAGCTAATACCTTTATAATGTAAACATACTGCTTAAGATATGATGAAACTTAAGCTAATTGTATAATAGCCAAAACAACCCTTTAGAGTTTGTTAGCTATGATATAAACCTAGTATTGAGCTTATGAAGGAAAACTTAAGCTACATATATAATAGCAAGAACTCCGTCAGAGTTTGTTAGCTAATACATGTTATAATGTAACCATAAAGCTTAAAATATGATGAAACTTAAGCTTAAATATATAATAGCAAAACCCTCTTTAGAGTTTTGATAGCTAATATACCTATATGATATAAACATAGTACTGCGCTTAAGATATGAATAAGCTTAAGTTACATATATAATAGCTAAAACTCTGTAGAGTTTGTTAGCTAATACATGTTATAATATAACCATATTGCTTAGAAATATGATGATACTTAAGCCAAATAGCAAAAAACTCTTTAGAGTTTGTTAGCTAATCTACTTATATGATATAAACATAGTACTAAGCTTAAGATATGAATAAGCTTAAGCTACCTATATAATAGCAAAACTCCTTAGAGTTTGTTAGCCAATATATTTTAATAATATGAGTATAGTACTATGCTTAAGGTATAATTAGCTTAAGTTACCTATATAATAGTAAAACTCAGAGTTTGTTAGCTTAATTAACTTAAGCTATGTATAAAATAGCCAAAAACTCTGTAGAGTTTGTTAGCTAATGCATTTATCATGTAACCATAGTATTACTCTTAAGATATGAATAACTTAAGGTAAATATATATAATAACAAACTCTGTAGAGTTGTTAACTTATATATTGTATGATGTAATAATCATAGTACTGTGATGATAAAAGGAACTTAAGTAAATTATACATAGCATGAAGCTATTTAGTATTGTTATAAGATAAGTAAAAATCTGTTAGATTGACTTATCTTCTCCTCCGAGGAACTGTCAGCTGTTGTGCGAGGACCATGGGATCGAATTGGTGTATACCTGAGACGCCCTCGGTGGTGATATCTCTCAGATAATGGTTTGCAACCACCATATCGATTTCCAGAAATAACCCTCCATTATTTCAATCACATTTGTGTAGAACAATTGTAGAAGTTAGCTTATAATATCATGAGTATTAAGCTCATGGAGGGTCGAATAGGTCCATCCGCATATGCACGTAGTATGACAGTTCTGATCCAAATGGAGATATAGTACATGAGACTTCACTCTGCGTAGTTGTTGATGATAGAGGAAATAATCTGTTGCATTTTTCCTCCTGTTTGGTTTGGTGGAGATAAATTTACAGTGCTCTTGCTGGCCAACTTGATAGAATCATCGTATCATGGGGTCCAAGTATGTCATCCAGGCGTGTTCATAAACCTCACTTGTGAGGTGTTGGAGCACTATATTCATATCCCCAGGTTGGGCTGAAATTTCCGCTTTATTCTCCAAACAGAAGTTTAGTAGGTTTACTAACCATCTAGTTGTGTTAGTCGCTTGATGAAATTCAGCTGTAGTTCGAAACGCTGTGGATTTAGATCCACTTGTATCTTCGCCTAGGTAATTCGCCAAGTAAGTCCTTTGACGATGTAGGTGCACAACCAGGTGTGTCTGTCCTCGCTGAACTTTATGTAAAATCGCCTGACTGCCGATCCCTCGCCTTAACTTGACAGGGAGGTCTCTAACTTGAAGAAAGGCAGTCTAATCATGAATGTTCAGGTTAACTGGACTGTAATGAGGCTTGCTCGCTCACTGATATATAGTTGTCACTTGTGACGTAAGTCTTGAACTGTGAATTGAGATCGACCTCTGTGTAGGTCGCTGTCCCTCGCGTCCAATCAGAACAAGGCATTTTGATTCTGTATAATACCCGCCAGATGTCACCGTGTAGCGGAAAACCCACCTTGAATAAATTCTTGTCGCCGCTGATATTAGCATAAACGCCGGTCTTCACCGTAGCTTCCTCGGTTATCCGAAAGTGACCACGGTTTCGAGGGTTAATGGTAATCGCTGAAAACCTCCGCCAAATATCTCGCTTCTGTAATTTTATGCTGGGTAGGTTATTTTCCTGGTTGTCGTGGAAAGTAATTTCAGTTTTGAATATAATTCACTTCCTTATATATATAGGGTATAAACAACTTGCAAGTTGTGAGCTTGTAGACTGTATACATGAATGTATCGGCCATAATTGTAGAATTAACGCTGAACTTGTTGTACATATTTCTTCTCAGAAACTTTGACGATTAAGAGTTATACTCGCTGTAACAAGGCTGCTGTTCAATTTCGATATTGAATTGTCTGCAGATATGCGTAATGGTCACGCATGTAGATAATCGTGATCGTCGTCCGGGATTGTATATTAGCAATTTATACGGAATAGTTGATTTCTGTGAAGATCTATGAAATGTCGCTGACTATTAATACAGCGACGCTCTGTGTTGTAAATAGCCTGAGCAATTATCTTCGCAGCAGGGCTTATAGATCGCATCTGGCATACAGTTGATAATCAACTTATGCGACGCCTTGAACGGACTGACGAAAGTAGCTATATATGACGAAAGTGGCTAGTATATGGAAACCTTGGAGGAGACTTCCTCGTGAACGCCGAGACTTCGCTGGGTTCTCGGCATCCCTTCTAGATCTTCTGGGTGAAGTAGACTTGAGTTACTTTAGCCTTCGCGCGACCATCGCGAAGGTGTCGAGTCAAAGCCCGATTAGTATATATATATATATATATATATATATATATGAGCTTGCTTCGCGGAACAGCCTCTGTGTTTAACAGGATGTGGATCGGCTAAGGCTTGCCTAAGTAGGGCCGCATGGATCATCTTATCATATTCAGAAGTCGTGGTTACTTAAGTCTGGTGATAAGTGTCTAATTGATCGCTCTAGATCTATTTAGGCCAGCTTAACATACGCCTCGCCATGGATTCAACAGAACCAATATAATGATTGTAGTTCTTATACTTGATATCGATGATCAACTTGTCTATGGGTTGATCTTCTCGAGACTTGTGAGGGGAACGCTGATAGTTTCGCAAGAAGCTCTTGTATAGTCCCTCGATGTCCTTCTAGATGATGATGATCTGATTCAGGTGTCTCACAAGATGCCTTCGCTGCTTCCTCTGCGCCCCGTCCGGGGAACGACGATATGACCTTCGCTGGCTTCCGTGATGTCTGATGGTCCGAGTCCACATCTAGGGATGAAACCGCATAAGGTGATGATTTATCCTGCCTTCGCTAAGTCCTTCGCCAAGGCTGTACATCTAGGTTCTTTCCGCCTTCGCTGGGCTGTACATCTAGGTCCTTTCCGCCGCCAAGGCCTTCGCTGGCTGTACATCTAGGTCCTTCGCCAAGGTGGTCCGCGGACTTCCTTCGCTGAAGGTGACATCGCCCTGGCTGCTACGCTGACGGGGGTGCCTCTGGGGTGCTGTTCACGCTTGGAGCCTTCGCTGGTTCGACCCTGCTACCGCGAGATATAGTGGTCCTCCATGATGTTCATAATTTGTCGATCATGTCTTCTGGATGGTCTGCGACGCAGGTCGCCGGTGCTTTATCTGGCGTGTTAATGGAGGGGTCCACCGAAAATCGTCCGACATCAGTGTAGAGGCATCAGGCTGCATGGTGATCTCTGCTGATGTCGCTGTAGCTGTCACCGGTCGCTTCTTGTGGCGACGCCGGGATGATGATCAGCTGATCATCGAGAGGTCCAGGTCATCGGCTGGAACAATCTCGCTGAGAAAGTCCTAGTAGACTTCGCTGATTTTCCTCAGAGGTCGACGCTGCCCTGGGTGTGCGACGCCTGCGCTGAGTGTTGGTAATGATGGGACCCTCAGGACGATCATCGATATCTGCGCGCTTGGTACATCAGGCTGCATGCTGATCTGAGCCGACATCGGGTCAATCTTTGATGTACTGGTAGAAAACCCTCTAGTCTTCTGCTGCGACGATGGGATGTCTGGGGAAGCAGGATGCTTCTTGAGATGGCGGACTACGCCCCACACCTCTCCACCACTCTAGCGAACACCACACGGAGGGGAGTCGGCCAACAGCAGTAGACTGGCTTAGGGTTCCGTGTATCAGTCATACTAGAGTCTGCATACGCCGACTATCTGCTGTGCGCACAAACGCAGCAAATATTAATAAAAAGGTAGAATTGATAAATTAGTACCGCAACTGCAATGTGAATATAATAAACATGGCCCGCATACATCATATTAAAGGCGGATCAGCAGCAGCATAAAAACGTAATCTGCAATAGTACAGAATTTTCATCAACGTAATCCACTGAAACAAACACGGCCCCCGTGAATAAACTGTAGAAAACGACTAAATATCAATATATAATCGCTGAAGGATACTAGCTAAACCTCTATAGATGTCTATACGAGGTAACTAACTAAATATATTTCAAAGGATATAGTGTGTCGGGAGACACAGGCGCTCTCACGTCCAGCTCACTGGGCGAAGAAGGAGAGAGTGAGGCACATGGGTAGAGGTGGCGCCCTCGTTCCCGCGCTTGTGAAAAGGAGGTAACTCGTGGTGAATACTAATTAGTGATTTTAAATTGAAGGGAGCTTCAATTAGGGAGATACAAGTGTTCCACTATGTTCGCAAGAAGAAGAAGACAAGCAAAAAGAGCATGAGTCAGGATAAGGAAAAATGTTTTGTTTGTTTGATGTATAATGCCGCACTCAACAATATTCCAGCTATACGACGGCGGTCCGAAAGTAATCGAATCTGGACCAGACAATATAGTGATTAAGAGTATAAGCATCGATCAATGCAACTGGGATTTGATTACATGTGTCAACCAAGTCAGCGAGCCTGACCACCCGATCCCGTTAGTCGCCTCTTACGACAAGCATAGGTGGCTGAAGACCAATTCTAACCCGGATCTTCATGGGTAAGCCCTTCTGATAATGCACAGGCTACATCTGTAAATAGGACCAGATTTCTCAAAGCACTGAACAGTCAAAATTTGTTGAATTTGTGTGCTAGTACTAATATGCATATGGTGGAAATTTGCTAAACGAAATTTAAATCTATAGAATCTATTGAATAGATTAAACAAAAATATTCCTCATTCAAATATTCTGAAATGCATTGTGACATTTGCAAGAAATCTGCATACTAAACAAAAACCACTTACATGCAACGCCTCATCAGTTTGAAAGACTTTGGAGTATAAGTGAGCTATTCTGGATTTCCGTTCCTCCGGCGTCAACTCCACGTACCTCCTTGCCTTGTCAGCCAAGATAAACCTGGACAAACAATCCACCGATAATTCATATCTTAGTGGTCGTGGAGTATTGCAAAGTCAGAAGGAAAATTGATTGACAGACCGTACTACTATGTGTAACAAAACGTTACATTCAAAGTATTTAAAACGAGATCTTGAAATCTGTTTCTCCATTCCCTCTTTACTGACGCTAAAATTACAGAACCTGTCTGCAAATTCAGAAAAAATATTCTGTCCAGTAATTTCAGGTAATACTGACTGACTGACTGAGTTTGGTTTTACGCCGCTTTTAGCAATATTCCAGCAACATCACAGCGGGGAACACCAGAAATGGGCTTCACACATTGTACCCATGTGGGGATTCGAACCCGGATCTTCGGCGTGACGAGCCAACGCTTTAACCACTAGACTACCCCACCGCCCCTTCAGGTAATATAGATAACTGACCAGATATATACACTTAAGTCCAATGCAAAAGCTTGGGATAGCAGAATCATGCACTTCTGACCTAAAATGAAGTTTAAGAACATTAGCAGAAAAGAATATTATGTACTACCAGTATTCCCATACTCTCAGGAATACATGAGATTCTTCATTCGATAAGTATTTCGTACATTTGAAAAGGGGGAATCTTGAGTCCATTGTCTAAAACAGTTTCTGTAAAGCATTAAATGCAACAAGCAGCATTAATGAAGGACAAATTTGTAAGGAACTGTCATTGCTTTGAAGTGGCATGAATATTTGGATAGGAATTAAACAATGTGCAGGCCCAAGTGTCTCAAAGGGATTGTAGCTCTACAAATGTCATAACTCCATTATATTAACTAGGGCTGTAATGATGCATCAAGCTATCGATGGATTGCAATTGTTGAGTCTCCAAATAGCAGTTAATCGATGATAGAAACAAAAAACTATCGATGCATCGATAGTAGGTGTGACTATCGATAGTTTAGTAATTGACTTCCGTTGATAAATGCGCAGCGCAAAATACAGGAAGTACCAGATTCGTTCACTTTGATTTTGAGTTATCCACCCCTCTTACCTGTTAACTGTTTTTACTTGATCTGGGTTTCAAGTTTCTGGCCAGTTATCAAAAGAGACTGAAACTACTTCAACTTGTTTTTATTTCATATAAACTATACATTCATTTGGGAAATGACTTCAAATGAGGCAATTCAAGGAGAAAAACACTATTGCAACAGTATTGCAATAGTTGGTCGCAATAGTTGTTTTCCCCTCAATAGTCACCCCTAATCATAACATTGGTTCACAAGTGACGGGAAGCAGAGATTGCCGTGTGCACATGCCGTGATGTGCCTTACCCCATTAGAGCTGGGTGTGACCCATCTGGCATGACGTGATCCAGGGTGAACCCCACCAGCCCCTCCTCGTCATCGATAGCTGATGACCCACACAGACCTGAAACAAGAAACTCCAACATAAGGGATCTAGAGTGTCTGTCTGTCTGTATGAGTAACTGACAGGGTTGGACAAGGGATAATCCTTGTTTTGTCAAAAGTACTGTGGACTGACTTGGTGAGTGAGTGAGTGAGTGAGTGAGTGAGTGAGTCACTGGCTGACTCAGTCAGTCAGTCAGTCAGTCAGTGTCTTTCTGTCTGTATCATCACATTGTTACAGTAATTGCAAATAATACCATAACCCAGCTTGTAGAAAACTCAGTGATAACTTATTGGCACTTGATTGGAATTTTTACAAAAAGTATTTGGACTTTTTCTGAGTCCCTGTGGAGGCGCTAATAAATTTTGTTGCGTCCATTGTCAATTTTTATGTGTAGAGGATGCAGGAAGTCACGTCCTGTAAATCCCTGCAGACTGCATTTCTGGTCAGTGCCGGTTACTAGAAGCACATTTGATCCTTTTGATTTAACTTGTCTTTTAAATAATGTTCAGAGTACTAACCTTTCCGTCTCCAGAATGGTGTGCTGTAGTACATGAATGTTTTGATGACCGATCCCATCGGCCGCCCTCTGCAGCATCTGGTTACGTCGACTTGGCAATGGCGGGTCATAGATGATCTTGTTCTGGATGGGCAGGGGGGACGCCACGATCAAATACTTCGCCTGCCAGGAAGAAAGGCATGTTATAAACAGTTCAACAAGAAGTAAGTGAGGTGAGGTGAAATTGGGTTTAACGTCGTGCTTGAGAATATTTCGCTCATGACGACGTGCATGCGTGTGTATGTGTGTGTGCGGCTGCTTGTACTAGCCCAGACTGAAGCTGGTTTTATAGTGCTAGCTCACTGAGATACCATGCCGCAGTGAAGAATGAATACCCCACTCAGGCACATTATACTGACTCCGAGCCGACCAGTCCTTGTTGTACCCATTAATGCCGACCGCCAGGCAGGGACCAACAAGTACCATATTTTAACGTCTTTTGGTATGACGCGGTCGGGGACCTTCTGCTCTTGGGGCGGACGCTCTAACCACTACACCACGGAGGCGGTCCCAAGAAGTAAGTAAACGAGTGAGTTGGGTTTTATGCCGCTTGTAGCAATGTTCCAGAATTATCACGTCAGGGGACACCAGAAATGGGATTCATACATGGTGCCCATGAGGAGAATTGAACCCGGGCCATCGGCGTGACAGGTGAACACTTTAACCACTTAGCTACCCCTGTCAAACTCAGATATCTGGAATTATTTACATAGCTTCTTTAACTATGACACAACAGACTTAAACTGTATATATTGCTTTTTGTTTGTTAGTTGCAATACTCCAGTTTTATACTTGATTATGGGTCAGATTGTTCAGAAATTTTAATAAGTCAAAATACACTCTTACCACAGTACGGTTCATATTGTGGTACAAGGCCTTCAGTTCGCTACGTTTCGGTTCGGTATATGAGATATGCTCATAAAGCAGAAAATTTACAACAAGAGAAAAACCTAACATTGTTTAATAAATATAACATGGATAATAAATAGCCATAATCTTTGTTATTTTGAATGAACAAAACTGTCATTTTATGACTAGATAGAAATGACGGTACGAAAACCGAAAATACTGATTTTTTGGATTGCATTACGGTATACCGAACCGAAGGCAAAATACTGCGGTTCTACTAATACTGCGGTATAACGTGTCACCCCTACAAAATGCTGCCACTCACGGTGTATCTGTTGCCGTTGACATCTTGTGCGATGACTTCTGTAGTTTTATTTTCTATTTTTGACACAGGATGATTCAACAACACACGATCTGTAAATGCAAGACATCAGACATACATATGCCAGACCAGCACTGTGTAAGTTGCAGAAACTGTTACAATTATGTTTGTTTATTCAGCAATATTCAGCTACATGACAGCTGTCTGTAAATAATCAAGTCTGGACCAGACAATCCATTGATCAACATCATGAGCTTCGATAGACACAAACAGCACGTTTTAGTTACAAATGATCTTTTCCCTGTTACCAAATTTTAAAAAGTTGCTTTCACCATGTCGAAATCGATACTACATTCATCATAATTAAATATAAAGGTTAGTCGACTGTTTGTTTGTTGTTTAATGCTGCACTGAGCACTATTGCAGCTATATGGCGGCTGTCAGTAAATAATCGAGTCTTGACCAGACAATCCAGTGATACAGCGACATGGGTGAGTGAGAGAATTGGGGTCACTAGAAATGGGCTTCACACATTGTACCCATGTAGGGAATCGAACCCGGGCCTTCGGCGTGACGAGCCGACACTTTAACCACTAGCCTACCCTACTGCCCCTTTTCATAATTGAAGACATTGATCTTGTCATCTTAAAAAAATGAAGATGACACGTACATAGTCATGTTTCTTAAACTTGAAAGACCATGGATCTTTATATAATGTGTAGACGGTATTGTACAAGTTCACATTTACCTGGTAACCTGGTCAACTTACCATTTCCTATCTTCTCTGCCATTTTAATACTAATCTGCTGGGACCCACCAATAAACTTCCTTTCCTGACAAAACAAAACAAAACATATTTGTAGATAATAACAAATGAACCAAAAACATCCCTAGTTTAACTAAAAAGCTTTCTTGTTTGAAACTGACATAAACAAATCATCTGAGTATTTAAATTCTCAGACTGTACTTACAATATACACATCATGGAGTACCCATGCCATTAATAGATGTTAGAAACTTCAATTCTGATTACTTGTTAAAAGGTGATTTACCAGATAAGAAATTAACAGCTTTCTTTAGATGAGAAATGCTTAATTTAGACAGAGAACAGAATTCAAATCTATGGAACATTAGCTCCGTATCATTCTTCATATTGCATTGATTTTGTGAACATTATCATATCCAGATATTGAAATTAATCACAAAATGTTAGTAAAAACCATTGAGCATCAGTTTAATAGGAGCAAACAGAATTGAGAATATTTAATCATTGCAAAAATTCAAGGAAACAATTTCAAGTTACAAATCGTATTGATGATGAATATTTCATGCATGTTGGTTGATGATGAATGTTTCAAGCAAGACACACAGTAACCCAGAGGACAGAGGAGTGATGATATAGTAAATCCATAACACAATCCACATCATCATACATCACACCGGGCTCGCTGTAGTCCAGGATTCTTTCTTTCATGCATAATGTAGCAGTCACTTTTACACTATTTGGTCCATGTCAATATGAAGTTAAACACTACATCAATGAAAGTGAGTTATCATATGAATTAGATCATACTAAGAGGAGTTTATAGATTGAGTGAGTGAGTGAGTGAGTGTGTGAGTGAGTGAGCAAGTGAGTGAACGGAGTTTATTGTTGCTTTCTAAAGTTTTTCATTCATATCACTAACATGACAGCTTGATGAGGACTGACTGACTGAGTTTTTGGTTTTACGCCGCTTTTAGCAATATTCCAGAAACATCACGGCGAGGGACACCAGAAATGGGCTTCACACATTGTACCCATGTGGGAATTCGAACCCCGGGTCTTCAGCGTGACGAGCCAACGCTTTAACCACTAGGCTACCCCACCGCCCCGCTTGATGAGGAAGGACAGCCCTAAGTGTTGGTTTGTCATTTAATGCCATACTCAGCAATATTCCAGCCATATGGCAGTAGTCTGTACATAATCGAGACTGGATCAGACAAGCCAGTGATCAACAGCATGGGCACCACTTCAGTGAAGCACCTGAATATGGGAAGATTTTGTTTGTTTGTTAGTTGTTTACCACCGCACTCAGCAATATTCCAGATATATGGCGGCGGTCTGTAAATAATCTGGACCAGACAATCCAGTGATAAACAGCATGAGCATCGATCTACACAGTTGGGATATGATGACGTGTCAACCAAGTCAGCAAGCCTAACCACCCGATCCTGTTAGTTGTCTCTTACGTCAAGCATGGGTTACTGACGATCAATTCTAACCCGAATCTTCACAGTTAGCAATATCATGGTGATGACAAACGAAGAAAAAAAACTGAAGTGAGTGAGTGAGTTCAGTTTTACGCCGCAATCAGCAATATTCCAGCTATATGGTGGCAGTCTGTAAATAATCAAGTCTGGACCAGACAAACCAGTGATCAACAGCATGAGCATCGATCTACGCAATTGGGAACTGATGACATGTGTCAACCACGTCAGCGAGCCTGACCACCCGATCCTGTTAGTCGCCTGTTACAACAAGCATCGGTTACTGAAGATCAATATTCTAACCTGGATCTTCAGGAGCAACATAACTGAAAAGGACCGGCATTTGAAACCACTATCTGGGGTATGAAAGGGACACAACTCTGCTTCGGACTACTGGCCCATCGGTGCCGAGTTAGTGCACTCATACATGTGATTTCTTCAACTGGTCTGGGCCTATAACCTCTCCTTAAACTGGTTCAATAAGCTTAGGGGCGGTGGGGTAGTCTAGTGGTTAAAGCGTTGGCTTGTCACGCCGAAGACCTGGGTTCGAATCCCCACACGGGTACAATGAGTGAAGCCCATTTCTGGTGTCCCTCGCCGTGATATTGCTGGAATATTGCTAAAAGCGGCATAAAACCAAACTCAGTCAGTCAGTCAGTCAATAAAGCTTAAGCTAGCTCCAAGAATAATATTGTAAAGTAGATATGGCTGATGATAAACATTATCTTGTTACAGGTGAATTTGCTATAGCCATGTTTAGTTGTATCTGCAGAATGCGGAGCTGACCAAATTGCTGAAATTACTTGCTACCAGAGAGCAACTTAATATTTGATGTTGTTTCCAATATGTCCTCAAGTGTGCCATAGCGACTGCTGAAGAGATTCTTGTGCTTTTACTACATCATCAGACCTTGACTTGTAAACACAGTGCTTGAATAACATGATGAGCGAGACAATGTTATTACAGAACAAGACAATGTTATTACACACACAAACACACACACACACACACATAAAGCATGCAGAGCAAGCAAGTTTAACAGACACATCAAATTTTAGACGATCAGATACTTTGACGTGTTCAGTGCCTCTTTAACAAGAGGACAACCCCTGTGTTGTGTGGGGTGGGAACACTGGTCCTAGTAGTGGTCACTAAACTGTGGATCGGATGTCAAAAATGGTAGCCAGGAATTGATGGTCATCACAGAGGAACATTCTGAGTGGACACGTTGGTGGGAAAACTGGGGATCAGATGACTACAATGGCTGTCAGGTATTGAAAAGTCTTTACTAATTAACATTCCCAGTCCCACACGTCGGCGAGAAAACTGGATCTGATGTATAAAATGGCTGCCAGGTATTGACAGTCTTTACAGAGGAACATTCCCTGTACCAAACACTGGTGAGTAAACTGTGGATCAGATGGCTACAATGGCTGCCAAGTATTGATCGTCTTTACCAAGGAACAATCCCAGTGCCACACCTTGGTAAGTAAACTGTGGATCCGATGTCTAAAATGGCTGCCAAGTATTGATCGTCTTTACAGAGGAACATTACTTGGGGGGAAATGTTTGTTTCGTATTCCATATTTTTGGTACAGCAGTCCTTTGATTTAAACAGAAACCCTCATTTGTATTCCAGGACATCAGCAAAAATACCAGGAACACTAGTACTGTGGGAATATGATACCCATTTATGGTAAAACGTTAAGCAGTTGCCACAGGGCATAATATTCGGGCAAGTAAATTTGAAGTAAAAACATTTTGTTCAAATAATTGTTAAGGTGTACTTTTAACCCAAAAGCCAAATAGATTGTTTGGTAAGATTACAGAATACCGGATACCTTCCGCCATCTTTGAAAGCACGCGAGTTTACAGTACTTTTGGTTAGGATTAGGGTTAGGGTAAGGTTTAGGGTTAGGGTAACGTTTAGGGTTAAGGTAAGGTTTAGGGTTAGGGTAAGGTTTGGGTTAGGGTAAGGGTAAAGTTTAGGGTTTGGGTAGGGTTTAGGGTTAGGGTAAGGGTAAAGTTTAGGGTTAGGGTAAGGTTTAGGGTTAGGGTGGGGTAACGTTTAGGGTTAAGGTAAGGTGTAGGGTTAGGGTTAAGGTAAGGGTAAAGTTTAGGGTTAAGGTAAGGTTTAGGGTTAGGGTAACGATTAGGGTTAAGGTAAGATTTAGGGTTAGGGTAAGGTTTAGGGTTAGGGTAAAGTTTAGGGTTAGGGTAAGGTTTAGGGTTAGGGTGGGGTAACGTTTAGGGTTAGGTAAGGTTTAGGGTTAGGGTAAGGGTAAAGTTTAGGGTTAAGGTAAGGTTTAGGGTTAGGGTGGGGTAACGTTTAGGGTTAGGTAAGGTTTAGGGTTAGGGTAACGATTAGGGTTAAGGTAAGATTTAGGGTTAGGGTAAGGTTTAGGGTTAGGCTAACGATTAGGGTTAAGGTAAGATTTAGGGTTAGGGTAAGGTTTAGGGTTAGGGTGGGGTAACGTTTAGGGTTAAGGTAAGGTTTCAGGTTAGGGTTAGGGTAACGTTTAGGGTTAGAGTTAGGGTAAGGTTTAGGGTTAGGGTAAGGTTTAGGGTGGGGTAACATTTAGGGTTAGGGTAGGGTTAGGGTAAGGTTTAGGGTTAAGGTAAGGTTTATGGTTAGGGTAGGGTAACGTTTAAGGTTAAGGTAAGGTTTAGGGTTAGGGTAGGGTTAGGGTAAGGTTTAGGGTTAGGGTAACATTTAGGGTTAAGGTAAGGTTTAGAGTAATGTTTAGGGTTAGGGTAAGGTTAGGGTTAGGGTTGGGTTAGGGTGATGTAACACTAAACAATTAAGGCTGGTAGCTATCCGGTATTCTGTATGCGTACCCATTGTTTTTTAATTTTTGTCCATTATGGTTGACAGTAAATTTGAACCAAAATTCATACTTCTCAAGAGCATTGAAAACTATTTTGATTCACCTTATGACAGCCCTATATGTAATTATATAGAGATTTTCAATACATCACCAGCAACAAATATATTTACGAGCAACAGGTGCTTGTCAGGAAAGCCCCCAGAAACATGGACAATAAGCTATGGACAGGGTGTAAGCTATGGACGGGGAGTACCTGAGCACCATTTTCAGTGCCATTAATCCTGCTTGTCCCCCCGGCTGATTTCATGTACCACAACAGAGCCAGAAGGGACACCTCATTCGGTTCACAACACACGTTTATCTGCACAAGTTCACGACCCACATAGCAGCCACCTCTGAAACAACACAGGAACCTGCTGTCATCTGTCTGGTGATCTGTCGCTGAAGATGTTTACATGGAGTCGGTCGTATGGTGTCTGTCACATGGTGTTGGTCACATGTTGTCCATCACATGCTGACTGTTGTCATCTGTCTGGTGATCTGTCGCTGAAGATGTTTACATGGTGTCCATCACATGGAGTCGGTCATATGGTGTCTGACACATGGAGTTGGTCACATGGAGTCGGTCAAATGGAGTCCATCACATGGAATCGGTCACATGGTGTCCATCACATGGATTCAGTCACGTGGTGATTAATAGAGTCACATAGTCACACAGTCGACAACAATGGGTCAGTCTCATGGCTGCAGTCACATAGAGTCAGTCACACAGAGTCAGTCACATAGAGTCGGTCACAGTCAACAATGAGTCAATCCCATAGAGTCAGTCACAGTCAACAGCAAGCCAATCCCATAGTCAGTCACAGAGTCAGTCACATAGAGTCAGTCACAGTCAACAGCAAGTCAATCCCATAGTCAGTCACAGAGTCAGTCACATAGAGTCAGTCACACCGAGTCAATCACAGTCAACAGCGAGTTAATCCCATAGTCAGTCACATAGAGTCAGTCACACAGAGTCAGTCACAGTCAACAGCGGGTCAATCCCATAGAGTCAGTCACAGAGTTAATCCCATAGTCAGTCACATAGAGTCAGTCACACCGAGTCAGTCACAGTCAACAGCGAGTTAATCCCATAGAGTCAGTCACATAGAGTCAGTCACAGTCAACAGCGGGTCAATCCCATAGAGTCAGTCACATAGAGTCAGTCACAGTCAACAGCGGGTCAATCCCATAGAGTCAGTCAGAGTTAATCCCATAGTCAGTCACATAGAGTCAGTCACAGTCAACAGCGGGTCAATCCCATAGAGTCAGTCACAGAGTTAATCCCATAGTCAGTCACATAGAGTCAGTCACAGTCAACAGCGGGTCAATCCCATAGAGTCAGTCACAGAGTTAATCCCATAGTCAGTCACACAGAGTCAAAAACAACAAGTCAATCAAGGAGTCAGTGAATCACAGTGCATGGAGTAGGGAAGGATGAAATCAAGTTTCATTTACTCCAAGTCAACCACAAACATCTGTGCCAAATGAAACATGGACCAATGGTTGACAGCATGGGCAGAGATCCATTCCATCAGGGTACAGTGGTACTATCATCCAGTCACACACAGCTGCCATGACCTTCACTAGGCAGCTCTTTCATGAAGCATGAGGTAATGACAAGGGCTCCACATGGTCAGTGCACAAATCTCAACATGATGTATGGAGGACAGATTAAT